GATGTTTTATGAGGCTCCTTTGTGTTGTCATGTGTGTCTTTATTTCCTTGTTTTTTCACTACTGAACTTTTCCATCTTCTCACTACTGGTATTCACTTTCATTAACCAAATATTAGGTAATAAATTGGTTTAGAATGCCAGTTAGAAACTTCTCACATATACCACCTACTGAGCATTAGGTAGCCTCAGAGATAAACCCCAGATAAAAGTTAAAACTAGTATGAATTCATCTCTAACTATGATATCACATATTATTTAAAAGATATCACATATTATTTAAAACCAAAAGATGAACCAAATATGCATTGAACTTCAGGTTTTGTCAATTTTACCTCCATTATGTCTTTTTAATCCTTGTCCATTCTCTTTACAGTGTCCTTAATGAACTGATGAGGGTCTGCCTCATCTCTTCTCTTGATGACTATGATAGTCTCCCCATATATTTCCATCTGAGATCTCATTACCTTAATTCTCCATATCTAATTATTTCAGTCCTCTGCTTTTCAATGGTTAAATGCTTAAAACAGCTTTTTTCAAAGTGCTTTGTGGTACACAAGTTTCATAAAATATTAATAGGGGTTATCCTCTGTGCCACCTTTCAACATGAAAAAGAAACAAACCTAATAAAAATTAAATATTATTTTAATGATAAATGCATTGGGGAGAATAGAACCAAACAAAATTAAACTCATTTTATTTCTTTTTGTATTCTTTGTTATTTTCTAGCATAGCAACAATCTCTAAAAGGAGGCAATGAATATGGTATTTTTCAAATTGATTATCTCTGTATTGATCTTATGATACAAGAATCCTGTGAAACACACCTCATCTTATTCAGCTAAAAAGATAAATTCAGTTTCTTCATTGTGTTTTAAAATACTTTGATCCTGTAATCTCAACATACCTCTATAGGCATCTTGGGCATCTTATTGTTTCCTCTTATCTGAATCTAGCATCCACTGTTCTCTGACTTTTTTCCTTAAAATTTAATTAAATCCTCATTCACCAGAAAGAAATTCTCATCATGCTTCAAGGAAAACCTTATTATTTGACTATTAATTATTTTTTTAAAGATCTTTCTTAAAAAAGATTTTTACCAGAGGGGGTGTGCAATCATCAGAGAAAGACTGAGAGAAAGAGGCAGTGAGAAAGCACCCTACATGGGGGATGGTCATGCCACGATCTCTTATTCTCCATTTCTCCTTCCTCAGAGATTCTGAGTATACATGCACATGTGCCCCATGTGTTTTTTTTTTTTTTTTTTTTTTTCAAGCCGAGGGGCCGAACTATGTAGTTGGCCATGTGGGATCTGGCAGCCTCAACCACCATGCCACCAGCTGGCCCACTGACTATCAGTTCTTTAAAATGTTTTCAGTATTATGGGCAAAATATTTTTTGTAGTGTATATGCTTATAATTGTTATTTTAGAATACGCATATTTTTGTATGTATTTTTCATTTGTTTCTCTCTCTCTTTTTTTTTCTTTTTTGATGGGAAGAATAAAATCTTGTGTTTGTTTATCTTTTTATTTACTTCTTTCCCAGATGACATGTTCCCTTTCACCACTATTATGCAACATAGTACTGGAAGTTCTACCCAGAGCTATAAAACAAGTGAAAAAAGTTAAAAATAATAATACTTAGTAGAATTTTCATCAAATGTGCTCACATAATGTAATACACAATGTTGAATAAAAAATGAGCATGTCTATATCTTAGATTTGATTATTATGTGTTTGTGTGCATGCTTTAAAAGAACATACTGTACACCACAAAGATACAAACAATTAGAGGTAAGCCAGAAAATACATTTAAAAAAACATTAAAATGTTAGAGGAATCATTTCAAAAACAAAGAAAAGGGCATCCAAATTAGAAATGAGAAAGTTAAAATGTCCATTTGTAGACAATAAAATTTCTATACTAAAAAAAAAAAAGCCCTACAAACTCCATTTAAAAAGCTTTAAGAACTGATAAACAAATTTAGTAAAGTTCCAGGATACAGTCATTACACAAAAATCATTAACATTTCTATACGTGAATAAGGAAGAAGTTATGAAAGAAATAAAAATAAAAATTTTCCAATTACAATAGCTACAGAGAAAGTAAAATATCAGGGACATTCTATGGCTTGATAGCTAAGGGCTGAATCCCACATGACTGACTACAGTTTGAGTTCTGGACCTGGAGTTTGAAAAACATACTAAGTACATGTGTATAGGTGCCCCAAATCAAGAAAGGTGGGAGGAGGAGAAGATATTGTGGGATAGTCATTCCACATGGAAGGTGTTTTCTCACTCTTCTTCTCTCTAGTGAGTACATATACCCTCTTGGAAATGAAAAAACAAAATAAAATACTTAGAAATACATTTAACCAGGAGGTAAAATATCTCTATAATGAAAACATTAAACTATTGATGAAGATATTGCAGACACAATAAGGAGATACATCTCATGTTCATGGATTAGAAGAATTAATATTGACAAACTACCAAAAATGATATATAAGTTCAATACAATACCTATTAAAATAACAATGGCTTCCTCTGCAAGGTGACTTCTTGCTTTCTGTCTCTCTGACTCTACAGCAAGCACACATGTCCTATATCAAAAGTATCTCCAAATAAATAAATAACAAATAAATAAATAAATGGTATTCTTCATAGAATTAGAGAAAACTATTATAAAATTTGTATGGAATTACAAAGACACTGAATAGCCAAAGCAATCCTGAGTAAAAATAATAGAGTTGGAGAATCATACTACCATACATCAAAACACCACAGTAACACTATAGTAATGAAAATATTTAATAGCATGATATTGGCAAAGGAACAGATACATAGACCAATAAAAGGAGAGAACACAGAAATAAATCCACATAAACATAGCCCATTATTTTTAAGAACATTCATTGGAAAAAACATTGCCTTTTCAATAAATGGTGCTAGGGAAACTGGACATCCATATACAGAAGAAACCTACAAATGTATGTTATCACCACACACACACACACACACACACACCTCCAAATGACTTAAAGACTTAAACCTTGAATAAATGAAGCTATTAGAAGAAACCATAGTGGAAACATTTCAGGACATTGGTACTGACAGAGCTCATGAATAAAACTTCAAAACCAAGGCAATGAAAGCAAAAATAGACAAATGACATCACATAAATTTTAAAAACTTCTGCACAGTAAAGGAAATGATCAACAGACTGAAAAGACAACCCGTAGAATGGAAGAAGATATTTGCATATTATCCATATAACAAGGAATTAATAACCAGAATGTAGAAATAACTCAAAAACTAAAACTAGCCAAAACCAAAACAGATTGGTTAAAAAACAGGCAAATGATTCAAACATTTTTTCAAAAAGAAGACATATAAATAGCAAGCAAACATGAAGAAATGCTTAACATCAGACAAAAGCACAAGGAGATATAATTTCACCCAAGTTATGATAGTTATTAGATAAAAATAACACATGCTGGCAAGGAAGTGGAGAAAGGGACATTTTCATACATTGATGATGAGAATGTAGTTGGTGCAACCATTATGGAAAACAGTATGGATATTCCTCAAAACAGTAAAAACAGAGCTTCCATAGGACTCAGCAATACCTCTAGTAGGTATAAATCCAAAACAAAGTAAATCATTATGTTGCAAAGATATATACATCCCAAGTTTATTGCAGGACTTTTGACATAGCCAAAAGGAAGCAAAAACTCCATGCTTTCATGAGTTTCATGGAAGCAAACTCAGTCCATCAACGGAGGAATGGATAAAGTAAATGAGGTACACACACGTGCATACACAATGGGATACTACTTGGCAATTACATAGGATGGAATCTTGTCATATGACATTAAATAGATGAATCTAGAGAGCTTTATATTAAATGAAATAATCCAGGCACAGAAAAAGAAATATCAGGACCAGTAGTTAGCATAACAGCTATATCGCTGAACTCCCATGTAGCCGGCCGTGGTTTAAGTCCTGGACCCGGTGGCTTAAACTCATGCCGGTGCGTGTGCATGTGTGCCCAAGATCCCAAGAAGAGAATGGAGGAGAAGGGATTGCAGCGTGGCCATCCTCTCTGGGGGGTGATTTCTCACTTTCTGTCTTTCTATCTCTCTTTGTCTGGCGAGCACATGTGCCCTATAGCAAAAACCTCCGAAAAAAGAAAAATAAGAAAGAGAAATACCAACATCCTTCCTCATATGTGGAAATTGAAAAAAAAAAAAATGACCTTATAAAGGGACGAGAGTCCGGGCTGGGGCTGGCAGGCAGCATGGTAGTAAAGGTGCTGGACTCCCATATGGACGATTGTGGTTCAAGTCCTGGACCTGGTGGCTTCCTTTCTCACTTTCCCTCTCTCTCTTTCTTTGTCTCTCTCTGATCAAACTGGAAAATAATAATAATAAATAAAGTTAAATAATATAATAGTTTAATAAAAACATAACAAAGTTACGAGAGTGGAGAATGATTGCTAGAAGCTGGGATCATATAGAGGGATGTTAATTAGCAGAAATAAAATTGGAGACAGATTAGAGGAACAAAGTTCCAGTGTTATAAGACACGGTAGGGAGAATGTAGATGGCATCAACTTGCCATGTTTCTCAAAGTAACTAAAAGGGAGGATTTCTGTAATGTTTCTAGCACGAGTAATAACACAGAGTTGGGATGCTGGGTATTCTACTTATCCTGAACAAATCATTATACCTTTTTTTCCCCTTTACTTTTACAGAAATCTCATGTGCTCAACAGAGACAGAGAGATAGGGAAAATGAGAAAACACCATACATGGGAAATGATCTCTTCCACTTTCCCTTCTAATGGGACTTTGGATGCACAGGATGGGAACCACATAGGTCATCTGGGATCTAGCTGCCTTAAACACACCAGCACCTGGCCATATTATATTTTTGTAAGGATGGTTATTATGTTAATAATAATAATAATAACTAGCTTGGGGGTTCAGCATTGAGGTTAACATGGCTATCACCCACACGGATGACAGTACAATGTGAGTCTGAGACCTTGTGGCTTGTAAATCAAGCCCAGCACATGTGGGTATGTGCCTAAAGTCCCAAGAGGAAAATGGTGGAAAGCACGTATGGTGTGGCTATCCACCCTGGGGAATGTTTTCTCATTTCTCTCTCTGTCAAGCACACACACCTTTTAACAAAACCAAAACAAAATGAAAAGTAAACAGGCTTTTATTTTTTATTGAGTTTACTTTTGTAAGTTATATTTTACCTTTACTAATTTTCTTGTATTTCACTTTATTTTCTCATTCTTTTTCATTTATTTGATTTTGGAGTCTTAAATGTGTTAATATTCACCTTTCCTTTCTTGTTTTGGAATAAACATAAGCAAGGCTATATACTTTTCTTAATGTATACCAATTTAACATTAACAGATACTCACCATAACAGCAGTGCTGTTGTTTTAATTTATAAATATTTTATTGTCATCTGTGATTTAATTTAACATTAACAGATACTCACCATAACAGCAGTGCTGTTAATTGTTTTTATTTATAAATATTTTATTGTCATCTGTGATTTTGTCTTAATTTAATAACTTTAAACTTTATTTTTAGTGGGTTAATACTTCTTAGTTGATTAATATTTTATCCATACTTTATTCATTTGTAGTGACTTTTGCATTCTGGCAAGAGAATGTATGTGGTGTCATTAATTTGTATTATATGTAAAGTAGTTTATATGGACTATCCCAAACGAAATGTGTGTGAAATGAGCAGACAAACTTTGTTTCTCAATAAACTCAAACGTGTGTATTAGAATTTTCAATAATGTGGCAGACCTTTTAAGTTTGCAGGAGTTTTCATCTACCCTCTGGTAATTATGACATTTAGCATATTTACTATCTCTTGCCCATTAGACTCAATGATCTCAACAAAGCTAATCATGATTTAACAAGTCACAGAATAACAAATGGAAAAATATTTTGCTTTATGGATTATTAAGACGATCAAAGGTCTTGCATTCTCAAAGGAGAGTAGTGTTTTCTCTTTGGTAAGATATTGAAACAATACTGCTTTCTCTGTGAAGGAAACACAGAAGAGCTCTCATTTCCCTAAAAATGTTAAGTTAAAAAAATAAAAAAAAAAAAGCATTGCACAAAGTTGATAACCACGTACTGAGTTCTAGGGTCTGTGCCGATTCACTACTGCAAAAGTATCACACCTGGAACATCAGCGTCAATTATTATCATTACCTGATTATATTTGTGATACTATTATTATTCAAAATCCAGCTGGCATTTGTAGGTGCCAAATGAATAAATTAGTGTGTGATATAATAGAATCACTTTCATGTTTCAGGTTTTTATGTGGCAGTTACATCGCCAAATTCCTTGTGAATGTTGTATAGATTTGGATTTGCTGCTGTGCTAAACGTGTAGTGGTGGTTCAGCTGGCACATTCTTCCTCAATGCAACTGACTCTGCATTGGGAAACCAATATGACAGCTGTGAAAGTTTCTGAATACGCCTTTTTCAGCAGTGCATTCTGGGACTGAGGCAGTAACTGCATGATTGGTCCATTGATCCTATGAACATACCAGGGTGTAGACTTGGACAAATGCATACTTTATTACCTGACTTTCAAAGGCTTCCTCTATATTTGGTGGCTATGATGGCATTTTAGGGCACAAAGTATTTGCTTCAGTTCAGAGATAATATTTAATAACTCCTGGAATGTTATAGATACTTTCCATTTTCTAGCACATGGATACATATTTCCATTAAGGATTTGTAGCGATTCTGTGGGATTTTTTTTTTTTAATAGCCAAGTCTTAAAATTGATACAGGTGCTCTGACTCTAAACTAAATTTGAAGAGAATAAACTTGGGGAGAAAGGGTAAGGATAAATGATGTGTCAACTCAGATTTTTGCACAGAAGAGTTATATATTTTTACAACTAAATAGACACGTAGTAACTTAGCGGATTGTCCATTGGCTTCATGCAATTATCTCATGACCGTATTAACTCCAGAAAGTATATTGGTACACGAAATCCACTTATAGTTATTCCACTTCTATAATCATAACAGGGATCAACAAACTTTTTATTTATAAAGGAACAGATAGTAAATAGTTTAGGCTTTGTGGGGGTCAAGTATTCTCTGTCATAACTCCTTGGCTTTGTCGTGACAAGAAAGCAAACAGGGGAACCAGCGGTTAGCGTAATGGCTATGTCGCTGGACTCCCACGTAGTCGACCGTAGTTCACGTCCTGGACCTGGTGGCTTAAAACACGCCGGGCGTGTGTGCATGCGTGCCCAAGATCCCGAGAGGAGAATGGAGGAGAAGGGATTGCGACGTGGCCATTCCCCCTGGGGGGTGATTTTTGCTTTCTGTCTCTATGTCTCTGTCTGTCTGGCGAGCGCACGCGCCCTGTAGCAAATACCTCTCCAAAAAAAAAAAAAATCACAAAGAAAGCAAACAGAAACAGTACATAAATAAACAAATGTAGCTGTGCTTCAATAAACTTTGTTTTTCCTTAAATGTGGCAGACTTGATTTGACTATTGGGAGTGGTTTATGGTGACACCACACCACTACTGTCTTTGGTACAGAAGTATTGCCATTCACATTAAGGAGCTCAATTCAAAGTGTCATGATAGCCTACACTTTGCTTACCAGAAAACTTTAAAACTATTGGTCTCTACATTAATTCATTTCACTCAATTTACCTTTAACCTGGCACATTTTCACTCCTTGTCTGTAGGTGCTCCTCAGGTACCTCACTATCAAATTAGCACAATATTCTAATCTTTTTGGTGTGTGATAATTCTTCCCAGAGCATACCTTATGTTTTTTCCCTTTGGGACATGAGAGAAAGAGTACACCTCAAGGAATAGGCATGGTAGAATAAGTTCTAAACAAAAAATTAGGCATCATTGCAAAGCATGTGATCCTGATAAAAATCCTGGCCAAGGATTTTTTTTTTTCTTTTCTTGAGAGATTTTTGCTATAGGGCATGCACACTCACCAGAGAGACAAAAGGTAGAAATCACCCCTCCAGGAAGATGCTCATGCCACAACCCCTTCTCCTTCATTCTCCTCTCGGGATTTTGGGCATGTGAACATGCTCCCAACATAAGTTTTAAACCACCATGGTGGAACTGAAGTTGACTACATGGGAATCCAATGATGCAACCACTACACCATTTGCTGGTTCCAAATCCTGGTGTGGGTTTTGAAGAAACTTGCTGCAAAAATTGGCTTGTTTCCTCAGTTAAGGAAACATGCTGCTACTGCAGTCAAGAATGTTTAAGGGAAGAGGTCCAATTTGGGGACTTTATCTACATGCATGTAATGGTCCTCCAGTCTCAGAATGCCAGTCTGATCCAATCAGGTCTCATGCACAGTGTAGATGGTTTGAAGATCTTGTGCACTAAGCAGGCATTGCATTTATATCACAATGATATACATTCAGGATCTGATCCTTTCATGGGTTTGTCCTGGAGGCACTACAGATAGACTCTTTCAGGCCTTAAAAACCTTCTAATTCTTTATGTGGGCCATGAGTTAGGAATCCTAGACCTTTAGTTATTATTTGTCTTTTGAAACTTTAAGTCCCACATTCTTTATAATTCATTCTTTTGTGTGTGTGTGTGTGTAAACATTTTGAAATCCACGTATAGTTTATTTTTTATGATAGCATTTTTTAATATATATACATTCAATGGCATTGTTTAGCTTATGAAGTCTGACACCACAAATCCTTTTTTTTTTTTTAAATGTGCTTTAGGGCACGTCCCCTTGCTGGAGAGAGACAGAGACAGTGAAAGGAAAAGTGAGAAATCATCCCCTGGGGGGATGGCCATCCTGTAATCCCTTCTTCTCCATTCTCTCTGGGATCTTGGGAATGCATGTATAGGAGATTGGCATGATTTTTCAAGTCACCAGGTCTGGAATGCGACTATGACTGTCCATGTGGGAGTCCAGTGGCATAACTGCTATGTAGTCTGCCAGCCCGTAAATCCATTTTGTACTGGTTCTATTGGGTCATCGGAAAAGTCATGACACCTTTTGGCATAGAAACACGTAGGAAAATACATCACAACTTTTCAGACTTCCCAATGTGACCCACTCAAAATTTTGAATTAATGTGATGCCTAAGAAATTGATTTTTAGTGTTACATTTCCAAACTGGCAGGATCATTTGTGTATTTCCCTAATAAGTGAGGCCACTGCGGTTTGAGCATACAAATCCAACTTGTATGGCACAGGCAGTAGGAGTGCTGACGCTGATTGTTGGTCATGGGGGAAAGCTCCGATACACACTCTGGGTCTCCTTCAGCATTCCAGGTGCCTCCACGAATATGTCTGTGATGGCTGACTGCAGGACCAGGGAAATATAGACCTTGTCAGCCTGGCTCCTCTCCGTGGCCTTCTCTCTCTCTCTCTCATAGGAAATAAACTTAAAAAATAATCTATTGGAACCAGCAGGTGGCATAGTGGTTAAGCCACTAGATACCAAAGTGGCTAACCACAATTCCAGTCCTGGACTCGGTGGCTTGAAATTCACACCAGGGCACAAGAGAATGGAGGTGAAAGGATAGTGGCATGGACATCCACCCTGAGGGGGGATTTCTCACTTTCCATCTCTCTGTCTCTCTGGTGAGCACACATACCCTATAGCAAAAATCTCTCAATAAAAATAATAATTATATATTAGGGCCAACCCATGGTGTAGCAGTTAAGGCAACTGATTTTCACACAGGTTACCAAGCAGTTAAAATCCTAAAATATGTGGTGGTTTGAGGAACATGTCAGACATGTATGTGTGTGTGCCCAAAAACCCAGAAGGAGGGAGAAATGGAGAAGTTGTGATTGCTTAGAGGGGTGCTTTCTCACATTTCCTCTTTCTTTTTTGCCTAGTACATGTGTTTTCTGGTAAAATTTTTGTTTTAAAAATTAATGGTTAATATAAAACATATATAGGCAAATGAATAGGAGTGGTTGCCATTTGAAATGGGTAGATGTTGTGGCTG